CAGTTGGTCGGGTGACGGGAGACGCGGTGCAGGTGGGCCACGGGATACGCAGTGCGGGAAGGTGCGCAATTCATGCAGGAGTTGAGTGTGGATGGGAGAGTTGGAAGGGGTCGAACTCAGCGAATGTACCTCAATCAGAATGACGTTTTTAGCCAAGGCCACCTTAGGAGCACCCTCATTAAGTTAATAACAATGTACCTACCTGTATAGTTTAAGTTTAAAAAATTTGGCTCTCAAAAGAAATTTCAATCATTTTACTGTTGATATTTGGCTCTGTTGACTAATGAGTTTGCCGACCACTGGCCTAGGGAGTACCCGGCCCCCTCCCTCCAACTCTGTTGAAGGGAGACCTGGCCACCCCCGCCCTCCACCCCAACTGACTCAGGGAAAGGCTGGGCTGGCCAGGTTGGATGAGTTAAGGGGCACAGCGCAGGGCCTCATCCCTCAACTCGGTCAGTCCAGTTGCTGTGAATGGAAGGCTGTAGAGCAGGAAGCCCCTCTCTGAGGAGCAGGGGAGTAGGAGAGTAAAGTCCGGCCCTGAGCGTTGACCAGGAGGTCACAGTTCCGTTCCCAGTCAGGGCACATGCTTGATCCCCAGTGGAGGGTGTGCAGGAGGCAGCCCATCAGTGATCTCTCTCATCACTGATGTTTCTATCTCGCTCTCCCTTTCCCTTCCTCTCTGGAGTCGAGAGGCAGACTCGCTCTGAGAGCTGCAGGAACTTATTTTACCAGCAAACTTCACACCAAGCTGCTGCCATCCAGGCCTCAAGTGGAAGGTGAGGGCTCTGCTTGGCTGAGGGACTCCCGACCCCACGTGTGGGCTCCCGACCCCATGCCACGGATGCTTCTTCCAAAAGTGTAGGGTTCCTGCACCTCCAACTAAAATGCTATCTTCCAAAGGACCAGCCCAGCAGATGGGCCCGGCACAGCCTACCTGACGGAATGAGCAGACCCTCTCAAATCAGGAGCCTGCAAGGACGAGGGCAGGTGATGGGGCCCTCCAACAGGAAGGCACAGGCTCAGGGCTCACAGGAAGAGTGAGACGAAAGCTGCCGAGCAGCGGTGCCCCCACGTCCTCAAAGCTGGGTCTGAGGCCGAGAGAGGAGGAGCCCCCAGCAGCTTTTCACACTTGGCCTAGTGGTACCCACCTCCAAGGTGCACTTGACCACGGAAGTGACCAAGAGTGCTTACAGGGGCAGGCCCCCCACAAGGTCCCACCATCCACCTGGGCTGGAAACTCATCACTGAAAATCGGAGGGAATGTGAGGGGTTTTTGTTTGTTTGTTTTGTTCTTTATTCCTTTAAGAACGGAAGGGAGAGGGAGAGAGAGAGAGAGAAACATCAATAATGAGAGAGAATCAATGATTGGCTGCCTTCTGCGCACCCAACACTGGGGATCAGGCCCGCAACCCAGGCGCATGCCCTTGACCGGAATTGAACCCAGGACCCTTCCGACCGCAGGCCGACGCTCTCTCCTGCACCAAAAATCAGCCAGAGCGGAAATGTGAGTTTTTAACTCTGAAATCTTATTACCCCACTGCCCCCAAGCCCCCGCCCCTCAGACCCAGAGACAAGAGACAAGAGCAGGAGGAGGCT